GTGACTTCAGTGTCGTCTTGGCCACGCAACGCGACACACCGCAATCACAACGATCGACGCCGCTAAGCTGTTTGCTTACCGTCTTTATTTTTTTTTTTTTTTCTTTTTCCGTCATCCCCGAGTCTTCCAATCTTTGCGAGCCGGCGGAATAAAACGCCGGGGAGCCATGGACACCAGCCAAGAACGACAGTAAACTGCGCCAAGCGAAGCTAAGCAGCGAAAAACGTTGCGCGCACGAGGTGATTGCGAGAGATTCAGGCGTACGCAAGCTGATTTCTATCGGAGGAAGAGAGAGAGAGAGAGAGAGAGAAAGTAGAAGGGCGAGAGAATAAAAGAGCCGCATCTTTCGTCTGTATGCGTTGATCGCACGTGACACGCGAGACATTCTGAACGAGGGCGATCGCGTTGACGCGACTAGACGCTGCCACCTTTTTCCACCTTCCACATTCTCGCGAGCATTTACAAGCGTAAGTTTATTGCGAAAATCGCGCCGACATGTCTACAGAACCGGGTAGCTTCACCTCCAACGGGAGCATGATCGTCGTAAGCAACAGGTTGCCATTTGTGCTAAAGAGAAACAATAGGACCGGTGAACTGGAGCGTAAAGCCAGGTTAGTATAACTCATTTCTCATTTAAAACAAGATCGAATAAGTACTTTACGATAAGTGTCATTCTGCAATATCACTTCGACGAACCCTCCTCACCCATTTCTTCTGCATTGAGAGAAAAAAAATGGTTACAGTAACCGTCATCGTACTATAATTTATAATATATTTTTCGACGTCAATCATATTTTTATAATGTTCTAACTATGCAAATTCCATCACTACTATGGTCATTACAATCATAATTAATTAATTTGTATAATTATATCGTATGGTTGTTATATTCTATACTGAGATTTTTGTATGATAAAAACGTACTATCTTATTATATTTATATTTAAAATCATTATAACTTATAGTCCAATTTTTACGTTTATTATTGCGTTATGGCAGCACTATGCATATAATTATTGCTAACATCATAGTAGCAATTCTTATAAAAATGAGTATCCTAACTATAATTATTTTACTATGCAATTCCAAATATCACACACTTTTCTTTTAGTATATCTTTTCTTTTTGAAAATATATACATATATCAATTTTAGAATGGAATACAAATAATTATACGATCGAAAAAATATGTTGTCGTATGTTAAAAAGAATTTGAATGCATTTAATGTAGATAAACAAAATTCTATTAATGTATCCGTTTGTATAAAACCACGTGCGAATTGGATGATGGAAAGGATTGTATTACGCTCATTATCAGTAGAGAGAAGCTCTATCCTATCATTCTGTATTGTGATATTTATCGGTGTCTCTCGCCAATGGTTGCGTTCGAAGCGCTGTGTGTAATGTTTTTATCTTGTGCTGCGACATAAATTATCTTTCTAAAAAGAATTTTATTTTTTCTATATTTGATTAGAATACATAAATAGTTATCATATTTCAATTTTGCATGATAGCGTACTTTGGTGATAATGTTCAAATTATATTGCATTTACTCAAGCAATTTTTCTCTTCTTCATATATTTACAATTTATAACTGGCCGACAGTTTAACTTGTTGCTTGTCAATTCATTTTTTATGTTTACGTCATTTTACATTTTATTTTCAACTGCAGAATTTTCGAAGAACGTGATTCGAGATAACAGATGCAATGAATTATTACGATTATATGTCGTTTATGCAGGTGCTATTGTTGTTATCTCTAATCAGCGGTAATTTTTTGTTCAATTATAAATAAAATGAAAGCCAGAGAAACGTTCTAGAATTGGAGACGCATACAACGAAATTCGTCGAAAGGAGTATGTCATCTTAATTAGTATGCAAGTTTCATTCCCAACAATGAAAAAATGTGGCAAACACATACGTCGTAATGTGATATAGAAGGCGCATCGTATCAGAAAATAAACACACATGTAGTCAACAATAACAGTGTGGTGATGTAAGGGAAGCGATAATGCAAATAACAAAGTTCACTGAAAACTTTCATATTTGAAGAATGATAGTCTGCTACGATCTCGTATGCTTGGCAAATATTTGACGATACAGTCTCAGAATACTAGACGCGACGCACTGTGTTTACACTTATCGACGAAAAGTCACTGCTAGTCCATAGTCCAAATTCGTCGATTGCAAGGCCAACGATCGAGGAGTTTCGATACGCGCCGCAAAATTTACCCGAAAGTGACTGGTATAATAACGACCGAAGTAATTAATTGAATTGATAAGAATGAGGTTAACACGCGCTGCTCGTATCAATTTGGCAAGCAAAACGTAAAATGTCTCCTTTAGTCTTATTCAAAATAACATTTTTTTCGATTAGCATAATCTAATCGCATTCATAAAGTATATACAGTCTTACAAAATGTCAGAATTTGTGTATTCGAAGTAGTAATCGGAGTAGATTACTGCGGTGCGCGAGTCCTCGCGATTTTCTTCTGCTTTTAGCATGAAAAAGATTATAATGTATACGAACAACAATAAATATTTCTTTAGTCTTAATTCATCTTCGACCTCTTAAACACGTATATAATTATTGAAGCGATCGATTCTAACGAAATGACAATAAGGTGTGCCCTTGATACGCAAAGATGACTAACGAAACATTTCCAGAAATCGTCTAACAAGTTTAATTGTCCTGGATTTTTCGAAGACGAAAGAACGCGTACCACCTGCGTCATAATCGGCGCACGTGGCTGCGACGTGTCTGCGACGGCATTCGCGGAAGTTGCAAGTATAAGTTCCTAGACGCGGATGTCTCGAATCATCATCTAATCGCAGCGTCAAGTTCGCACCGAATCGTGGAAAAATACTAACGCAAATGCCATTACTCTCGATTATTGTTTGCGAACCGATAATTTGAACCAGTTAAATTCGAGATGACTCGGCATAAAACATATCAATATATTAGATTATGCTATTTATTGCACATGTGCAAATCGAAACAAGTATCTTTTAGATTTGTTGTATAAACATACCTTTTTTATTATACATATCGCCCAATGTTGTTGCGTGAATCAAGAATATGTAATAAGATCAATATCAGATTATCGAAGAATAATTAACATTCAAATAATAAGTTAAACAAGTAATTGTAATATTGTGATTTCGTGTCTAATTTTTCAAATTTGCTTATTTTCAAGAACTACTTATAGTATTTCGAAAGTGTTGGATTGTGTAATTTCAGGATTTTCCCGAATCTCAATCTGTCTACATTTTTGTTAAGCAACGCGCAGTTGACACATAAATTAAATATTCATTTTTGATTACGTTTGCAATCAAATTTTGCCAGTATCGCGATTTTTTAAGCATGCTATTCGAAAAATAACTCCATTTATAAGAAAACCGAAATTACTTATTACACAATTCAATAGATTGTATTAGATGCATATGAATCGTCGCTAATTTCTTTCGTTATAGAATATCATACATGCATAATTATAATGCGACTGCGATTATTCATGAAATGAAAAATATCGATCATGATGAGGAATAGCGACGCGACTTTACGTGGACTATAAACATTTATTCGTTTTCATTTACGCTTGATACGACTTATTGTTGGAGTCAAATATCAGCGCATACATACAGATGTGAACATTTTTGCAAAGAAACATCAACTTGGCGACATTTTCTAGCGAATGCATGAAGATTGATGCAAATTAATCACAATATACAACACAATCCAGTCACGAATCTTCCGTTTTATTTACGAATTTTTTCATCAAGTTGTAGAGTTTTTTCTCGAAGATAAAATAAAACGATTAATTGTATTGATTTATTATTGTGATTAAGTGACATTGATAAATAAGATTGTTGTTAATCCACTAACGAAAAGTATCACGCGCGAACTCATAATGGACACTATAATCGGAGTGATTTCCGGAAGGTCACGGCGTTGTCACGCATTTGTACGCGCTCGATGCACGTGCTTTTAAGAAATCTCTTGATCACGGACAAAACAGACTGATGACGCGGCCACACATTATATAAACGAGTTGGTCATTATACTCAATGTCGCGCCTAAGATTGCTTGTTATATGTATAATTCATTAATTACAATAACTGTACAATATCGGCCAAATTTGTCTTTCCTCTTTTCTCTTTTCTTTTCTTTTTTTTTAATGCATTTTTAATTAGAAATTACAATTACAAATAACTAAATTATAAAAGTGTTAAATTCAGACGGGCAAGAAATGATAATTCCAGCGAATGTTAAACAAACATCTCAACGGCATTTGTTTCTCAGATTTATTATTGGCGGCATCTTTTCTTAAATGTCTCCTTTTTTATTGCCTGTTTTCAATAATGCAAATATTCTTTCAATTTTTGATGTGCTTATTTTTATATTTGTTGACATGCGGGATAACTTCGTTGATGAAAGTTGAAATAAAGAGCAATCGGAATTCTAACAAAGTACATTTGAAAACTTAGCGCGCCTGTCAATCCATCTGCTTTTCTACACGGAGAAAATTTTATATCAAAAATTACTATGTTTTACATGTGCAAAACATAGTAAAAATTTTTATAATTCCTTCATGTGGTCCGTACATAATAATTTTTTATATAAAATTTTCTCCGTGTATTAACATGCACAATCAAATCGAGATATCAGATATAATTAGAATTTTGCATCATACACAGAACTTTTGTTAAAAGCGTAGATGAATGTTTATCGTTAACTAACGATATGACGATTATTCTAGCGTCCTTCAAGATGCAAAATTGCATGTGACAAGAATAAACTACGTAAATATTAAATATTTTCCATCTATGTTGAGGTGACAAGTTTTCAAAAAAAAGAAAAAACACAAAGAGGCTACAAACTCTTATTCTAATTCTACAGTAATCACAATAATAACTTTTAAAGAAGTAGAGCAGTGATTTAGACCCAAATTATGAATGTGTTGGATCATTTTTCCAAGTTTTCAAATATTCGGTTATCTTAAGTCTTCGCCTTTTATTTTCTTCTATTTCATAAAGTTTCTTCAGAAATGTATTTCTTTGACAGTGCTGGTGGTCTAGTAACTGCAGTAGCACCAGTTGTCATAAGCGGCAATGGAGTCTGGGTCGGATGGCCAGGTATGCACATGGAAAACCCGAACGAGCCGATACCCGAGTCCAATCCCAACGATCGCACACCCACAGCTGGTCTGTTATCTCGGAAGGTAAGCCTCCATAATATAATTTCAGTAACGATGTAGTGCCATTGGAAAAAAAAATCAATATTCCGTGCAACCGTAATGATGTCTTACGTAATATATATCTTGCGTTGCACAACAATCGTTTGTACGTGGAAAAGAGCAAGTACCGCTTAATTTTTCAATTGTCTAAACCACTTTACTCTTTCTTTGCTTTTTTTTCTTTTCTTGCGCCAGTTTTTTTCGTTACAATATATCCGGTTAAATTGTTAGGAAAATTACTTATTGTCCCGTGCATAGAGAAGCATTGTAATGCTGGGACGCACTAGCTTGCCACTGTGAATATGCGATTACTCAACGTTCTATTATAATGAGTAGACGACTGCAAACGACCTTTTTCAATCACGTGATTGTTTTCTCGCATTCTTTCACAGTTTCTAATGAGATTTTTGAAATATTCAATGTTTATATGGTTAATGATTTTTAGTAGATAGTTAGATTGAAAGTTACAATAAAAATATATTTTTTTCCGAAAATTTTTTAACAAGATAACTGCACTATAATTGCATATACTCTTTTAAAGCTCCAAAATTCCGAACTGAAACATGTATTTTGGAATGTTTGTGCCAGTGATTATGAAAGTGGACTAAATCGTATATTTTTTGTTTTGAGATATTTCGATTTTTGCATTTGTATATGTATATTAAAAATATTTTTTTATTCCGTTACAAAATATTTTGCAAGACACTTACTTTTATAATGCAAATATTTTCCGCGATTTTAAAATTTTACGAGTAGCTTGTAAGAAAAAATATTTTTTTTTGATATCTCAAATGTGACTTGAACCGTTTTTCAAATTAATGATAAATCTTACAAATAACTTGGAACAAAAAATTGAATTTTATTCAAAAACAAGTTAAAAACAAATATATTTATTTATATTTTACAATTATAATTATAATTATGTTCCATTAATTTTTACCAATATTCTAGTTGCTTTTTCTTCTTGGATAGGATTTCCAACTTCTGAAGTCTCGAGAGTTTTAAAATATACGTAATATCATTTTATATCAAATTTATTTATTTGAACCACTATGTGATGACATAATGGTAGAATAAATATTTTCTTTTTCACAAAACAAAAGTTTACCAGAGAACAGGTGATCATTATCAAAATAAACATGAATTGAATTCTGATTAACGGCACAATCTCATTAAATGATTTAATTTTCATTTATTTTTCAAAAATGACTCCACGTTATTATAGATCGATATAACACAAAGTGAGTGATAAATTTAATTTTTCAAGATTTTTTACTTAACCCATTTTTATAATTACTGGCATATTTATATGATATTACATAGTTTTTTTTCGATATTTTCACCGAAATGTGATGAAACAAGCTCAAGTGAACTGTATGCGAACTAAATGATGTCTTAACCTTGGCATTGACACCTTACTTCGCAGTGAGCTGTATAACATACTGGAACGAGCTTTGAAGAAGTGGGGGTGGTAAGAGAATTACATTGGACGGAGACGTCTGTTTCATGTCGGTTTTCGTTTTTAATATCCCCACCATACACGATAGTAAATGTGGAAGGAGGACAGATCTTCTCTTTTTTTCTTGCCTTCTCCATTTACTATTGCCATCCTTGGGTCGCAAACCACACATTGGTTCTTATGGGAAAGGTTCACTCCAGTATGTTATACAGCTCACTGCGTACTTCGTAATCGCGCGGTAAGAAAAGAGAGAGAGAGAGAGAGAGAGAGTTGTAGTCCCCCCTTCTTGATAAACCTGTAATATTCCATTCCAATCAACGTCTCGAAAATATGGTCGCTTCTTTAATATCTTCCTTTTCCTTCTATCCTTTATCTATAACGAGTACGAGCGATATTAATTGGCAGAGATACTTGATTTGCGAATAAAGCCGAGCTGATTGGAGCTGCTTGAGTATGAAAAGATTGTTTTACATGATGGAAAAAAAGAATTTGTAGAATATAGATCGAGTTGAAGATGCCCTTTGCCTTTTCTCTCTCGATACTGAAAAGTTCGGTGACCATTAAAACAAATTATTTATAGACTGTTTTCATGGCGATATCGAATCGTGTATTTCCCGATAAGAGCAACGTGACTATGTTTACTGATAGACGATTATTTTATTTGTCTACTTTTCGCATCTTTCAGTGCGCGTAGTACGTGGTAACCGATACTATACTTTTTATACTTAATCACCAAAAGTTATCTCGTCATTAAGATTACATTAAGTGAAAAATAATACGATACAAATAATGTCTTTAAACTTTTTATTCAAATTTCTAAATGTTTACAATACATTTAGGAAATTCGAATATCTAATCAGTATTTCGTAACTTTTAAATGCTTAGCTTTCAACTTTTAAACTTGCCAACTCAGTTCACGCGAAAACAGTGAGTAAACAATACACAACAGTATATAATTAAAAAAATAAATAAAAACTAACAAATTCTGAGGAAACATGTTGATTAATCGAGTCGAGCATTGGTCGCATAATGCGCGTGAATAGATTAGAAATAGCTGGCAGTGATCCGGTGTCACGAATATTCATGTCGTAGGGTCGATCGGGGAATTATCATTGCGTGACGCGTTGCGCGCCTATTACGTCTGTCGCACAGAAACGATGACTTTTGCTATTTGTTGACAGCTATGTCAACGATATCAGTTTGTGATTAGCAAACACATACGCACACCCACGCGAACGTCGCACTGGGGATCACGTGAATCGCGGCAAGACCCTTTCAAGATCGCCTATAACAATGTCTCCAAGCGATAGCCTATAACATTGTTAAACAACGACAGCGATTACAGCGGCGCGGCGTAGGCGGCGTGGCGACGACGTCACTTCAACATAACGATTGTTGTTATATAGAAATTTTAACGTGTTGTTATGAATTATCGTATTACGTAATTTAAGTCCAATGCTGAATCGCTCGACACGCGCTTAGCGAAGAAGAGAATATTTTCTCTTATTAAAAAAAGATAACTGGCGATGAATAATTTCTTGTGTAATTCGCAATCTTTTTTAATAAGATTTTTTAATAAGAAATTATTCTTGCGTAAAAACACATTTTTATTAATATTAATCAACTATTTAAACAAGGAATAAAAATGTGTAAAATATTATTATTTGCATTTTTTAAACAGCATGCAATCTATAAAAATTTTTTCATTAATTTTCATTAATGTGCCAATAATATTGCTGGACGTTCTTTATAAAGAACATCCTTTTTTATTTTTGGAATTGCTCGGTTAATTTTTATAAAACTCGACTTATAGGGATAATTGTTGATACTTTATTCAAATCTGAGATAAAAAAAAATACCAAATTTAAAATGATGGGTCCAGTATAGCGGACCAAATTAAAAAAAATAAATAGATTATTTTAAAACTCGGTTTCCAAGATCTAGGGGTCGAGAAGTTTTTGAGATTGTTCAATATATCCTTCAAATTTTGAAATTCTAAGATAAAATTTTAATTTAGCGATGCCAAAAACCCCCAAAACTGAGTTATGATAAGTGAATTAATTAATTTTTTTAAATTTGATCCACTATATTGAATCTATCATTTCTCTAAAAACTTTTAGAAAATAAGATCTTACATTAGATGCTTTGTTAGAAAACTTTCATTTCAAGAAAGATTAATGATGACAAATTGTTATTTAGTTAGATTAAAAAAAATTAAAAAATTTTTTTTTCTTTGTTTTCAAAACTACTTTTGTCATTTTACATTCATTTCTGCATACGTCGCTCACTTCTACCTAATCGCTCTATTTTTCTGTCTATCGCGATCGGGATGTTCAATAATATGTTTGCATAACGCGAGCATACAGGAAACAATGAAGATGAAAAGGAAAAAGAAGGCTACAAGAGGGAAAAGTTGACTATCATGTCACATATAATACTTACGAGGCATGCGATAACGCGCAATTAAAATGTTTTTATCTTCTTTTTTTTTTTTAGATAATTGCGCAAATAATGCAGAAATGTATTTTTATACGCTATGTAAAAAATTCATCTACATGATTTATTTCTACGTACATAACAGACGACTTAATGATTAAAGAAATCTAAGGCAATTGTCATTATTAACCAGTTAAAATTAACTGAATTTATGTAACATTTTGAGGAAAAGCAGCAGTTTTAATATGATTTAACTCTGTTGGAATCTGTTAAATTAAAATCAATTGAGGCTATAACGCGTTTCTTTCCGATTTAACTTGATGAAATGGTCGATAAACTGATATTTTCTTCCATGTCGCGGTTAATCAATCTCAACAATGAGTTTTCAGCGAAGATTCTTGAACAGAACAGAAGACGATAACAATTCAGCCGAATGCACGGGGAAGAGGAGAGTAGCTGCCATCGCCGCCGCTTTCCCTGACCTCTCTTAATTAATGTGCCCGTAAAGTTACGATACCCGTCGAAGAAATAACAAACGATGGCCACTGTTGGTTGTGTCTATCGTAGAAACATTAAGCGTCTTATCTCTCGTCAGCGATTGCTCACTTGCGTCAAGCGGGTGATCTCGCTGGCACGACCTGTTTTCACACTCATGATCGGAAATAAAGGAGGCAGTGTCGCAAGCAAAATAACCAAGTTAGCGGGATAACGAGCGAGTGCGCGGCGCTGATGTTAGCGAGAGACATGCGAAACAAGCGGATTTAACCGCTCAGTGATGATACGTCGTTATCAAATGTAGAAACGTACTTTATGCATTTCCGATCCATTAGCAAGTATGTATTACTCTCTCTCTCGTCCCATTTCTTATTACTATCGATTTCTCGCTTCGTCGTTTCTTCTCTTTGTAATACCTTCTCAAATTTTTGAATGTAATTCTAAATTTAAGCTGTGCGTCTCAACGATTAGTTGACAATTTCACATAATATACAGCTAGTAGCTTGTGAAAATGTGTTGCTAAGTTTTCCCGTAGACCTTTGTCAGAACAACGTGACCAATCGCTGAACACTCAGTCTAGAGATATCCGTCATACCGTTTTAATTGTTTTAAAAGTATTGACTATTAATCAGAAGCGCATTTAAGAAATTTTTTTTTTTTAATAAATATGTCGAAATATTGACATCTGCGCTTTGATTCTTATAGTTTTTCTTCTGTTGATTTTTTTTCGAAATATTTAGTTTGTTATTTATTCTTAATTTTTAATTCTCGATGTTATTTTTTTCTTTTAGAAAAATTAAAAAGATCTATTGGAGTCGATGTGTAAAAAAAATTACTCTTTAAGTACGAAGCACCTAAAAATAAAACTACTTATTGGCACGTTTCCCAATACACTCCACCTGATGCAACAATTGCATACTGACCGTACGAGTGTACTTGCGACTTGAACTAATCCCCGAAATAACGACAAAGATACGCATTGCACATCACAAATACGCGAATAATCGCGGAAAATTCGAATTCTAAAATGAGACATTTCGTATTTTAATCTTTCTCTCCCTTTGTTTTAGGTCGTCGCCGTACACGTTGATTCCGGCGTCTTTGATTCGTATTACAATGGGTGCTGCAATGGAACTTTTTGGCCACTTTTCCATTCTATGCCGGATCGGGCAACCTTTATTGCGGATCATTGGCGTGCATATTCGACGGTCAACGAACAATTTGCCGCACAGACGGTACGATCGTGATTTATCTGCAGCCTGTAGTGCTTAACACATGTGTTTAATACGAATCTATCACTGCAGGTCGGCGCTTTGGAACAAATTCACAAGGAACAGGAGAACCAACCGAACGGCACGCCATTGGTATGGGTCCACGACTATCACCTGATGTTAGCCGCCAATTGGATTAGGCAAGCGGCCGACGAGAAGAATCTCAGGCTCAAATTAGGTTTCTTCCTTCACATACCATTCCCACCGTGGGACATCTTCAGGCTTTTTCCGTGGGCCGACGAGATATTGCAGGGTATGCTCGGTAAGTAATCCTCTTATATTAATATAATCTTTATTACTTCAGCTATGTGATTAAGAGGTAAACACTGGATTTACAATGTTTTTCCTAACACAATCCTTCCATATTTCTTAACACTATATATGACTATATTACAACATTACACGCATTTATCATAACTTAACGAAACAAAGGCAAATTAAACTTATAATTTTGTTTCTTAATACGCCTAATATTAGGCCTGAACCTTGCCTTATATTTAGCCTATTTTCTCTCTCTTTTCCCTTTTTCTTTCTCCCTACCCTATTTATTATCTGTCTCTTATAACATAAGTATACCGTTTTTCCTCAAAATATTCGCTTTTACTTTATCCAATTCATCGCGCCATAATTTTTCTGACCTTTCTCCTCATTTTTCTCACCTAACTCCTTAAATAATCCTCTTATAACACTAAGAACTTTTTAGGTAATTTTCTCGTTTCTCGAACTAATTTCTAGTGTGATTGTTATTTAGGATGCGACATGGTGGGTTTCCACATTCAAGATTATTGTCTGAACTTCGTCGATTGCTGTCAAAGAAGTCTTGGTTGCAGAGTGGACCGTAAAAATTTGTTGGTTGAACATGGCGGCAGAACAGTGCGAGTAAGACCACTGCCGATCGGCATTCCGTTCGATAGGTTTGTTTCCTTAGCGGAAACGGCCAACAAAGTCATGCAGTCGAGTCAAAAGATCGTCCTTGGTGTTGACCGGCTTGATTACACCAAGGGTCTCGTTCACAGACTCAAGGCATTCGAGCTGCTGTTAGAAAAGCATCCCGAACATCGCGAACAGGTCATTATCTAATACGCGCTTTGCATACGAGTTCTCTCTGGTAATGAATTATCAACAGAAATATCATACTCGATTGTTTCGCAGGTGACGATGCTTCAAATCGCAGTGCCCTCGCGCACCGACGTTCGCGAGTATCAGGATTTGAAGCTCGAGATGGATCAACTAATCGGCTGTATAAATGGTCGCTTCACGACCCCCAACTGGTCACCTATTCGTTACATCTACGGTTGTGTCAGTCAAGATGAGCTAGCAGCGTTCTACAGAGATGCCGCCGTAGCCCTTGTCACGCCACTTAGGGACGGCATGAATTTAGTGGCCAAGGAATTTGTTGCTTGTCAAATTAATACACCACCGGGAGTGCTGATAGTATCACCATTTGCCGGTGCTGGCGAGATGATGCACGAAGCCTTGATTTGCAATCCTTATGAGATCGACGAGGCCGCAGAAGTGATTCACAGGTATAAAATTGTTTCTGAGTCGCGATAAATCACGCGTTATTCGCTGATTAAAAATTTCACTCTTTGGTGTCTCATTGTTGAATATTAAATTGTTCCGAGATGTATTTCGAGATGTTCGGTAAAGTTACACAATCAAGTAAAACAATGTAAACAGTTGGACATTTTTTGCAGAGCTCTTACCATGCCCGAAGACGAGCGCACGTTAAGAATGAATCACTTACGTCGACGTGAGAGGATATACGATGTCAATTACTGGATGAAGTCCTTCCTTCAGGTAATGGGATCACTCGAAGAACACGATTCCGTAGGTGCTACCACAATGCAGCCTGTGACGATGGATGATTTTGATGATTATTTGAGCAAGTAGGTATCAGATGTGTTAAGAGATGTGCATGACTGGGCCCGACCAGCGCATGCGCATGAACGGGAAATAGTCGTAAGATACATAAATATGAGTAAGCACTTAAGTGTCTGCATTAATCTATACTTTAAGTTCCTGTTAAGATAGTATAAAATAAGCAAAACAGCTATGCTTTTAAGTGATACTTGTAAGCTACGCATGAGTTTGGGTACGTCGCAGCGTGGCGACAATACTACACGGTATGATTTACGGGCTATGCTTATGACGTTCACCGATAATGGTGATGTATATCGACAAATTACATTGCATTCTTTTGCTATGTGGGATATCGATTTTAATGTTCTGTTCAAACATTCCCGCAATTTGAAAAAAAAAACGGGGCATACAAGAGAAATGAAGAAAACGCTTTTCCGAAAGACGGCGGGCCCGCGCGAGCGATTGTTACCTGACTCATAAGAAAAGCCGGATAACGTCCAGTGACAACCACATGTCCCCTAGGTACATCGGAGAGAATCATAAATTAGCACTGCTGTTGGATTATGATGGCACCTTGGCGCCCATTGCCACACATCCCGACTTGGCAATCTTGCCACTCGAGACGAAAAACGTTTTGCAGAGGCTATCCAACATGTCGGACGTTTACATCGCGATTATATCAGGTAGAAATGTCAACAACGTGAAATCGATGGTTGGAATCGATGGAATCACATATGCTGGTAATCACGGATTGGAGATCCTGCATCCGGATGGTAGCAAATTTGTTCATCCTATGCCTGCTGAGTTGGAGGATAAAGTGGCCAATCTTATGCAGACACTTCAGGAACAGGTACGCGAAATGAACGACTATCAGTACATATTTGTAAAGTAAATATGATATTGAAATATCTTTTATTGGCAAAAGCCCCAATGATTAGCTAATATCGTTAAGGACCACTTTTTCCAACGTCGGTTAACGTTAACCGACAATTTCAATTTGTTAATAGAATTGCTAACATGAAGAATAAAATATCTTCATTAAAGGTGACAAAAATTTTTAATTTTTCTTTTTTTATGACCATATTTCATTTATGTTAGCAATTCTATTAACAAATTGAAATGGTTAAGGTTAACCAACGTTGGAAGAAGTGGCTCTAACAGTTCTATTTGTTTGTAATATCAAGGAATCCTTTCCAGATAGGCGTCCTCTATAGAGGATACTGTCTTTTATTTTTTGCTTCTCGATAAAATTTGGCTTATAGGAGTATTTATTGATGCTTTATTCAATTCTAATACAAAAAATACAAAATTCAAAGTAACGAATCTAATATGGCGGATCGATTTTCAACAAAAATAATCGGATTATCTTGAAACTCGATTTTAGGAGGTTTTTGGAGTTGCTCAACATAACCTTAGGATTTTGAAATTCTGAGGTGAAACTTGAATTTAACGACTCCAAAAATGACTTAAAATCAAGTTTCACGATAATCGAACTAATTTTTTCAAATTTGGTCCGCCATATTGGATTCACTATTTTAAAGTTTGAAATTCTAAGACACAATTAAATATAGCGATTCTGAAAACAAGGTCTTGTATAAGTTACTTTATTAGAAAGTTTCCAAAAAGATTAAGATATGATATCATAAAATATATTTACATACTTCGACAAATTCCACAATCTGTTAACTTGACTTGTTTGTTTGACAAAGCTCTGTAGAGACGGTGCATGGGTCGAGAATAAAGGAGCACTCCTCACATTCCACTATCGTGAAACCCCGGTGGAAAATCGTCCCAAGATGGTGGATCAGGCTAAAAAGTTAATCGAGGACGCGGGATTCAAAGCGTGCGCCGCGCACTGCGCTATCGAGGCAAAACCTCCGGTCGAATGGAACAAGGGTCGTGCCTCTATCTATATACTGCGCACGGCATTCGGGTTAGATTGGAGCGAACGTATCAGGATTATATACGCTGGTGACGACGTTACAGATGAAGATGCAATGAGGGTACAAATTTTGATTTCTTCGTTTCTACCCCCGAACAAAGATATCTTTTAATTAATGAAAAATATTTTACAACATATTGATTGTTATGAGAATTTGAATCTGTTTCCGCGTAGGCGTTGAAAGGTATGGCCGCGACTTTCCGTGTGGCATCATCGCACATCATCCGCACCTCTGCTGAGAGACGTCTACCCAGCACAGATTCAGTACTCACGATGCTGAAATGGGTGGAAAGACATCTTAGCAGACGTAAGCCTCGCAACAGCATCGACATCCCGGGCATACCAACACGATTTCGACGCGGCAGCGGCGGTATTACAATGGAGATGTCTTATACCCCGCCGAAAACACCTCTCGAATCCTAGGTGATGCTCAAATCTCCTTTGTTAACATATCAAGTGTATACTCGGCACGATATATATGTCATAGGGTTATAGTGTGTACTCGTAGTTTAAAGCTAGCAAAGATGGAGGAGAAAAAATTGCTGCGAACAATCTCAATCTGAGAATAAAAGAGCTAAAAAGGAAGTTAATGAAGCCTGCATCTGAACTATATATCAAGTAAAATCACTGAAGAGAAGACGGTCACGATCGGAAAGTCAAGAGAAACGAAATGGGTTTTTCCAGTCTAGAGGTATGATATTGTACTATTAGTGGCACCATCAACGCGAATATTAGTGAAGAAATGTGAAAAACCAAATCGTTTTATTGGCTCTCTAATTTTTATTGTCTTCAATTAATATATTTTCTAATACTGAATAGATTACTTACTGACTAGATTAGATGACTTTTAGATCGAAAGATATCGAATTCGTACACGTGATATAGCGATTAATGTTTTTAGGCCGATTAATCATTTAGCTTTAACAATCTAAATGCCATTTAAGATTTGGCTCTGTACCAAGAATGTACATGTATATATTTTTATTTTTTTGATTTGTGTATTCCTTACTGAATCAATAACTGAATTATGTGAGACACGATACCGTATATATGTCTACGGAGATACAAATTTTAGATCCTTAGATTATGCGTTTGATAACTATCAGAAACAATAGAATCATTGTTTGATGCATAATCTAAGGATGAACCTTTGGCAGGCAACATTAAATTCTGCGTGTTACACTTATTAGCTGTGTTTTATCTCGTTAACCATTTTAACCAGTAGCACGGATATGACAAGACATAAATAACAGCGCGTTGGATTGCCTCAGGAATACCATCTACGAAGTATAGTTTTATTTGGGACTGACTAATTAATTTATTTTTCTTTTTCTTCCTCTTTGCTTTCTTTTCAATCAATTGTATTACAAATATTAGAAATATTTATTGTCAAACATCGAATAAGTGTGACACTAATGATCTTAGTCTCTTTTATCAATTATTTTATTATTTTGCCATGAAATACCTTGCGAAGTGCATTCGAGAAACTCCTGATGTTAAAATGTTATCAAAATAATCAGAATTCTTTTACACATATAAAAGGATAGAAATTTTTGGTTTTAAATATTAAAGTCTCAGTTATAGTCCCACAATCAAGTTACTACAAAATATGCCAATTTGCATTTCGTGTTATGCAATATACAGTAAAACAAACGTCAGTACACATACGTACACACATTTAAAATCCATCCATTCATGTATATGCATGTATGATATGTACACACACACAAAACGAAAACAAAAGTTTACAGATACATGTTAACAGGAACCAAAATTTATACGCTTTATACATAAATCTAGTGGGCATGCGAAACTGTGGATGAATAATTGTTTAATGCGAGAGGATGAAAAGGCAAAATTTATGTAAACACAAACTAGATTTTACACTTTTTCTAAGTAGAATAAGACGTAGAGTGTGAAAAAGAGGAGGCAAAGGAGAATATTGGTATTTGTTGATATAATCGTTCTCGGTTATACGGTGCGTACGATGATTAGCGATAACAAATAAGAAACGGCTATATAAGAATCTATGTCTTCTGTACAATGTTTTAAAGATATGTGGTGTTGTGCGTTTCTCTATACCGCCAGATAATACTGACTTTAAATTGATACAAACTGGCAGCGCGTATCCGTTTCTTGTCACGAGCTTGTTCTAAGGAGAAAAACGTTTTGAAAGTAATGTACAATTATCATTAGTAGCATTATCAATAGCTGTACAAATCAACGAGAATTCGCGAAAGTATAACAAGAAAAGATATCTCTAAGATTGCGGCAAAAATTTCGTGATTTTAATAAATTATAAAACAAGAATAGATATTTGTTTGGAAATAAAGCTGCGCGAAATTGTACAAGAATATATTATTTATTAAAAATTTACTAGAATATTTACACGAGAAAAAGTTAATATACAGTTTATTTATTTAATAATGTTATTTTATTTCTGTCCCTTAGCCTTATTCTGTAAAACAAGCTCGTTTCTTTTACATTTGCTTAAAAATATAACGCCACGTTTTGTTTTCCAATTGTTTTTATTGCTCAACTTCCCTTCTCTATTTATTTCTTTAATCCGATTCACCGCAAATTTCATCAAAGTGATTATAATACATCTATCGTATTTATCTTATTTTTCGAAAAAAATCAGGTTGTAAACGAATCGAACACGTGTATGAACTCGTTTACTTACTAAATTTACTTGGTAAACTAATCTACGCCACTAATAATTACACGTAGAAGAAACATTCAACGGTCAAAGGAACAATTTTGTGTAACACCTGATGAAAGTAATTTACAATTAAGCATCTGTTTATTGGTCTCGGAAATTCAGTGTTTTGCGGGAACAGATGTATCAGTCTCCGTAATCTCGTGTTTTCGCCTCTGTATTTATTAGTCAATTAATCAATAATAATCGTCAGTCAATAAAGAATGAGCGAGCGAACGATGATCGAACGGACGAAGGAGAAGAGAATGAAATAAAAACATAACAGCAATCGGCAAGGACAGAGCAAATTTATGACTGTCGAATCTGCATTATCAGACATGCTGTATATGTATTTGTTGAAAGTACACGAAAACAAAGTATATGTGTATATAACGAGATATATAAATGTATAAATGTTATGCCATACCCATATGCATACAAAGTCCTACCGTGTGCCCTTAAAGCAAATTCTCTCCCTCCCTCGGAAAAAAAGGAAAAGAAAAAAAAAACAAAAACAAAAAACAAGAGCTATTCTACATTTTGTATGAGTACTTAGTTTTTACCTCGTTATACGTTACTACATAAATGTGTAAAATAAAAACATGCGGAGATAGAGCGAGTAAACGACTAAAACTGGTTTACTCCCATTACTGTAAAACACAGTGCAGAAATAAAACGTCGTTTATAAATTGTGCATTTTTCCTTTATACTTTTCAGTCAAATTTCCTACGATTCAAAAGCGGATACTGAATTTTATGCATCCTTTCCATTCGTAACGATCATAACAATTAAAATAAGTTTTTAATTTATCGGGACAAATATAATCATGTTTATAGTCTGTCGAGGAAATCGCTTGTTGCGACGAGAAACAACGAATTAAATTTTTCCACGCGTTCCGATTTTATTGAATAATATAATATTCGCAGTGTTATTCGCCGTTGTGCGGCGTTATATATTTGCACACGGATTGAGAAACGGCGGTTTTCTCCTTCTAAGAACAAATCTCCGACAATAAATAACGATAGGAATGTTGCGATATCGCGTTTGTATCGTCGTTATTTTTTTTTGCAGTGTAACCTCTGATGTTGAGACGTATCTCAAGCTGGCGATTAAGTGTTGTTTTTTTTTTATAATAAACGTGTCACTGATGCGTGCCCGAGAGCGGAGTGAAACGGTGACGCAACGGACCGTTACGAGCGCTACGGATAATAATAATCAACGCGGATAGGGGAGATGCGGGAAAACAAGCGGATTTTTATTATTTTTTTTATTTGTTTCCTATAATCGATCGTGGATTTCAAACGAGGTGTTAATATCCATTTACACTCTCAATTCTCCTCTCGTAATATCGAATATAACTTTTTCTAAAAATAAAAAAGAGATCTTTACAAGTAAAAGTACCACGATTAACACAAGCTGAATAAAATTGCAGACATTCTTGCTACTTAATTTCACCTATATTGTATTGATTGATATATTTTGATTCTTGTAGCTTTTTTTCCGCCAATCTTTTTATTGTTACAGAATCATACGTGACTCTCTTTAATTTTACTATTGCTTTTCTCAAATCGTGTTTTCCTGCCGAGAAATAAGTTCTCGATATTTTCGAAATTTTCTTCTTCGTCCAATTTGTCAATCACATTTATAGGCCTATTACCGAAATTATATATAATCCTGCTAAAGGGATGCTTGAATGATTTTTCAAGGGAAAAACGTGCATTTTCTCTAACACGGTATCTCTTGTCTGACTAAAATGTACGTTAATTATTTTGTTAAATAATAATTATTTTAATTGAAACAAAATTCGCGTTTATGATTTCTTTCTACGCGTACATTTTTAAAACATTGCTTTTGACATAAGTGTTTCTTAAACTAATGTTTTAAATAAACAAACAAATTTACAAAGCAAATTTGATTTGAGCAAGTGTCTCAAAAATACGACACGATTAATATTGTATACATTGACATTTGTCATTTTCATTTTTCAGTCCTGATAACTTCAAATAATAGAAAAAGGACATGTGCCATGGATACAAATTAATATGTATCCTACCACGTGAAAGAACCTTGAAAGCAACGTCGTTAAACTCGATAAAGAATTCTGTAGTACGCGAAGAATCGGAAAAGAGTCTTCAATTCCCATCGCTTTGAGTCCTTTGAGACGCGCCTGTCGATGGCCGTGTCGATTTTGTTGGAAACATCCAAATATTTTTATTAGAGCCGCCCGTTGTACGAAGAGTGGGCTGCGCGATCGGGCCTTTTTTCAGGAGATTCGATCGGGCAGGCATCTTTCACGCTGGCGATCGCTGCGTGAGCGATCCTCGCCGATGAATCCCGGGCGATCCCGCAGTCGTCGTATAAAGAAACGGATTACACGGTGTCCATTTCAAGACGTATCTACGAGGAACTGATGTTTGCGGTGAGTTCTTCTCCCTTTCTTTCTCGCTCTCTTTCATGCTAACCCACGGTTCCTGCGGGCGTATACAAGCTGGCAGGGGCATTATCTTCGCTGTTTTGCCGATTCAATTGTGTGTGCGGAGAAAGGCGGCGTTTAACAAGAGTTTAATAAAAGGCAAACAGCGCGGGGTCTCGTCCGCCGTCCTCTCGCGCTGTCCTCGTATCTTCCGCTCCTGCGCGCGCGAAACCGTTCTTCTTCTCTCTCTCTCTTTCTCTCTCTCTCTCTCTCTCTCTCTCTCTCTCTCTCTCTCTCTCTCTCTCTCTCTCTCTCTCTCTCGTACCCCCCGCCGTTCTACCTCGAAGGGATTACCGGGAAAACCGGCCTGTCGATCCGCCGAAGAAAAGAGGGAACACGCGAAAGGAAAGAGATTCGAGAAAGGATCGCAGCTGCCACGCACCGATAGCCTCGCCAAAAAGTACTGATTCCTCGCTTTCCTTTCGTATTTCTGTTTCGCTGATCCACGCGGCTGAACGGGCAATAGGGTGTGTTCTCCGGAATAGAAAAAGCTACGGAGCGAGAGAATGAACAAGCGAGAGTTCCTTCGTGATCGCGAGAAACGCTTTCGAACAACTCATCGATGTATATCCTTTAAATCGCGAAATTGAATAAAAACCGCACATTACAAGTCAAGCATCTGCGAAACTCGGCTGTGCAATTATTATTCGCAGAGTAATCACTCCGAGACGGTTCCGAAACGATCGATCGATCGTTAAGTCGCAAAATCCATTCTTCCTTTTCTCTTTTTCCTTTCGCTTTTCTTTCTTTTTTTTTTTTTACGCTCGCTCTCGACCAGAGAGCGGAAAGGAAGCGGCAGGGGACTAAGTAAGTCAGTAACGCAGTGGAAATTCGCTCGGGGCGGTTACCTTCTCCTCCCCCGTTCCTCTCGCTGACGATCGATCAGGTCTGATGTAATTATCCAAACGTTGAATTTTTTATCGCGGTGAAACAATAACGCATTTTCAGAGCAAACAGCATCGTGCACCGTAGAACAGCGGAGAGCTCGCGCCGCTCTGGGGGTACTCGCGTCGTCCGCTTGTGCTCTCGGTGTTTACGTAACATGTAATAGAATAATCTGCCCGTTACACGGGGGCAGGACGGGCTGGTGCACCGCGGGACACAAGTACCGCGGCACATCTTTGTTTACCGCACCCCATTGCGATTTCCGGTCCGGCGAGAGAATATTTCTCGTCCCATGGTTACGCGCGAATTTTTGCGGAAGAACTGTAATCGCGCTTTTTTCGTTCACCACTACAGTCATTATGTATATGTATGTGTATATGTGCCAGTAATTATGAAAGTGGACTAAATAAAACATTTGGAAAAATTGAATGTATCACTTACTTTGTATTACACCGATCTACATTATAATAGTGTAGAGTCATTTTTTAAAAATAGTTGAAAATTAAACCGCTTAATGGCTAAATTGGTAAAATTGTAATTGTGTTAAACGCGGAATTTTCAAGTCATGTTTATTTTGACAATGGTCTAACGATAAGTCACTTGCTCTCTGGTTAACTTCTGTTTTATGACTTATTCTTCCGTTATGTCATTAGATAGCGGTTCAAGTAAATATATTTTATATAATAATATAAAATGATATGTTACAAATATTTTAGCTCTCGAGAAATTGGAAATCGGAGATCGAAATCTATTATCGAAGAAAAAAAGAAAACTAGAATATTGGTAAAAATTAATTAAACATGATTATAATCATAAAGTGTAAATGGATATACTTGTTCCTAACTTGTTTTGGAATCAAATTAAACATTTTTTTCCAAGTTATTTTTAAGGTTTATCATTAATTTGGAAAACGATCCAAATTATTTAAGGTATCAAAAAACATTTTCTTACAAGCTACTCGTAAAATTTTACAATCACGAAAAAGATTTACATTACAAAAGTAAATGTTTTAGAAAATATTTTGTTATATAATAAAAAATATTTTTTTAATATACAAATGCAAAATTTAAAATATCTCAAAAAATGTATGACTTGGCCCACTTTCATAATTACCGACAAATATACATTCTAGAATTAACAAGCTTGCAGGATAAGCAAATAATGTTTCGAATAATCAATTTGGACTTGTCTTTTTGTTAAATTTTAATTTGCAAATTATAAGTTTTGGAGAAAAGTATTTTTATCATTTCTAAAGAACATAGTTTAATGTCGCGCTAGATTTTGGAATGATCAATTAATCAAGAAATAAAACATATATCAATTTATTATTATTGGAAATACAACATGAGAAAAATTTGGCGTATAATAGTAGATATTTTGAACATTAGAAGACATTGTATCTTTATATTTCTGACTTTTTCAACAGATATGTATATCTTTTATGTAGAGAATCAATGGTTTGGAAGAACGGTGACTTTGATCCTTCACCGATCGCATAATGTAGCTATCACCTCCAATTAGGCTATTTGCCATTGTGGCTATTAACTCACACCTTCGGATTTAATTATTATGTCGTTGTACAATAGCATTGTGTTGTGCGGTATATAATATGCTGCACAGCATTATTATGTTATTATACGTTTACGATGATAAGTTAATACATGCGTGGACGGAAAATCGCTCTTATGTAACACGGGTGTTTAGCGATAAATAAGGACGAATCCTGTTGTGTTTCCGTAACATGGCAGACGATGCGGCGCATTCGGGGAGTGAGTTTAGGTCGCAGAAAATAGGGGTAATCCTGTGCTACACGAAAACCTCATCGGGCTTTGCCGGGCGCAAGACGTAGAATCAACAAATCCAGTGGGATTAGATAACATCCCGCGGGATTGCTGGTCCTCCGTCTATATCCTCCGTCGAATCCTGAAGAGTGCGCCTCGTTATTAGCTCACTGAGTTATTGGTATCACTTAGCGAAATCCGCATCCGTCGAAACAGCTTTAAAAGGCCACCCCATTCAGCTGCGAATAGAAGCTTTAGGTGCATTAAATATATTTATTTATGTATTCACTTGTTTATTTAGCGCAGTCAGGCGCGCGACCATTAACAAAACTAACTTTTGTTATATGTACAGCATACTTTGATAATACTTTGCACATTTGGCGAACATAAAAATTTGGAAAAATTTGTAAAAAATCAAAATAAGGTTTAATGTGATCCGTCTATTACCGTCTGGCATGCCGGTTTTATAATAAAAACCACGCTTCTAACAAAAGCCGGTACTTTGCACGACGCATTCTTTTTCCTCCCGAATTCAGCTGTATGTACATAC